GGCGCCGCCGCGGCCGTCGCGCGGATCTCCGCCATGCACGCCGGCACGCCTCCCGCGGGCGGCGCGCGCACGGCGGGAGGCGCCCGCGCGTTCGGCCCCGGCCCCGCCCATCGTCGCGGCCCGTCCGTCGTCGTCCGTCGTCCACCGCTCGTCATCCGCCGCCTTCGCCGCAGCCGCCGCCCTCACTGCCACCTCGGAAGTCGCTGCCGCCGCGGCAGCTGCCGCCGCCACCGCCGTCGCCGCGGCCGCCACCGCGACAGACGACGACGGACGACGACGGACGACGATGACGACAACAACGACGACGACGACGACCACGACGACGACGACGACGGACGACGACGGATGACGACGACGACGACGACGACGACGACGACGACGACGACGACGGGTGGCGGACGATAGCCAGGGCTTCAAATGCCATGCGGAAGACCGCGCTGGCACCTGCCTCGTGGCCGACAGGAAGCAGGGTTGACGTCAGAGCCGGTCCACGCGGGGCCCCTCCGGAGGCGCGCCAGAGGGCGAGGACCAGGGCGAAAGCCTGCCTCGCTGTTCGGGGCCCCCTAGACCACGACAGGGTCAACCAGGACTTTGCAATCCCCGAGAACGCTGCTCTTCTCCCGAGAGATTGGCGAGAAATCTTTTCCGAGGAGAGCCTCCCATTTGAGAACACCCAAGACATGTTCGAGGGACTGCGGCAAGAGCTCGGGCTCCCACGGCCGCCCGAGAACACGCACCCGGAGAGACCGCAGAACTGAGAACGCTTCGTCCCACGGCCGCAGCTTGCTCGGGCGCGCCGAGATGCCCTGGTTTCTCAAACCCCCCGCGCTCAACGGGGTCCCGGAGCTGTCGGCACGGCCCGTGAGGCGCCGATGGGCTGCTCGTCGGTACTGGCGCAGTGGATGAAGCACTCGTCGGCGCGCCCGCAGCCATGCACGAGGCGGGCGGCCTTCTGAGGGGGCACCCAGCCTCTCAGAAGCCATCGTGCCTCCTGGGGAGGCCCTCTTGGAAGCCTCGAAGAATCGGGGGCACGAGGATGGGGACAGGACCGCGACCACGAAGCTACGTTCGCATTCGCCACCGCACACAGTGCAGTGGATTTTCTCCGGAGTAGGTTCGCGAGCGTGAGCGTCGTTCGACAAACACGAACTTCCATCCGATGTACATTAGATAGATGTCACCGCCGCCACCTGCCTTTTAGGATACGCCCATGTGGCCAAGCGTTTGGGCAAAGGTTGCCCACGCGTGGACCATGTGTTCCCCCAGCCGTTGTGGAAACCCTTCGGGGAACACGTGGAGGGGAAAGAGGAGGACTAGGAGAGGGAGGAAAAAGGAGGACGAAGAGAATAACGAGGAGACCTCTCGGAAGTTTCTTGGGACATTCCTGGGGCCTCCTGGGAGCTTCCTTGGGGCCTCTTGGATGCCTGACGATGGCCTCCTTGGGCCTCTTGGGGAACTTTGGGGCCTTCTGGGGGTACCCATTGGCCGTCTTACGGCGTTCCTGGCCCGTCTGACCCGTCTTGGGAGCCTCTCTGGGCCGTCTTGATGCCCTCTTGGGGCGACCAGGGTCGTCTTGAAGGCCATCTTGGGGGTCTTGGAGGCCTCTTGGGCCGTTTCTGGGAGCCTCTTGGGCCGTCCTGGGGCCACCGTGGAGGCCTCTTAGGCGATCTTGGGGCAATTTGGGAGGCCGTCTTGGGCCGTCGGAAGGCCGTTTTGAAGCAGATGCCAACATCTTTCAAGAGCCTTAGGGCAATCGGTGATGTGAGCCTCTTCGGGCCTTCCTGGAGGACCTCTTGGAGGCCTCTTGGGCCGTCTTAGGGGCCTCTTGCGCGCTTCTTGGGCCGTCTTGGGCTCTCTTGCAGCTCTCTTGGACCATCTTAGGCAGTCTTGGGTGCGTCTTGGGCCGTCTTGAAGACATCTTGGCGCCATTTTGGGCTCTCTTGGGGCCATCTTGGCCGTGTGGGAGGCCATCCTGCTCATCTTGGATGCCGGCTGGTCGTCGGCGGCACCTGGGGGCCCCTGCCGTGCCTTGGGGCCCCCAGACTTTGTCGATGTGCGAAACAGTCACGACGGGAGGTCTTTCACCATGTTCGGCCTCAGGAGGAGGAGGAGGAGGACGAGGAGGAGGAGGAGGAGGAGGAGGAGGAGGGGGAGGAGGAGGAGGAGGAAGAGGAGGAGCCCTTGCCGGGCCTCGGGGCCGCCAAAGCAGCTCAGGATGAAAAGCCTATCCTGGGGCAGGGGTCCAGACCTGATGGGCTCGTTTTCCACCACCACCACCGTCATAAGTTGGAGGGGGGGAGGGGGTCCTCCTCCTCTTCGTCCTCCTCCTCCTCCTCGTCCTCCTCCTCCTCCTCGTCCTCCTTCCCCCCTCCAGCTTATGGTGGTGGCGGTGGTGGAAAACAGGCCCATGAACTGCCAAACAGTCACGGCGTCGGGGGCCTGGGACCGTCGAGACAGAAGGCGAGACGAGAAGCCGGCTCCCAGGAGGGTCCGAGACTTCGTTCGGACGGGGCCGGCAGAGCGTTCCAGGGCGCTCTCTGAGAGCGCCCTGGAACGCTACGGGCGACCACTCGATTGCGAATGGGTGACCGACCAGCGGCGCCAGCCAGAGTAGACAACACTCGACGCAAAGCGTACCCCGCGCGAAAGTTTTTTGAAATACCGGAATCCCCGGAACGTATCAATAGCACGCTGCGTCAATAGATTCTTCTCGTCCTATCTCAGAGCGTTCCGGAACGCTTTGAGAAGGCCGCGGCGCCCGATACATCCTCTAATGGCCGCCGGATCTCAGAAATTCCCGATTTATCCTCACCCGATGTTATCCGTGGTCCCGGCTTCGTCTGAAAGCCCGCTCCTGGGAGGGGGGTCGAGATTCCGTGAGCGACACGATAGGAAAATATCGCGACGTTGGCGGTCTGGAGTTCTCGGGGGTGTCATTAGTTATTCGGAGGTCCTCGGGAGTGCCCAGATGACCCAGCTGGGTCCCAGGGATCCCTGGTGGTTTCAGGGCGGGCGGTCACCTGGAGCGCAGAGAGGGGGTCTAGAGTTTCTTGCGGGGCCCGCATGTTTTCCTTGAGGTTTCGGGGAGTTTTTCGGCGGGTGTCCAGAGAGGGGGGCGTCCTCGGCACCCGAACGCGTCGTTGAAGAGCCACCACGCCGCGCACGATCGCCCCGTTTCGGGCCCCAGCTCCGTGTCGTATATGGGTTATTCAGTTTTGCCTTCCTCAGGTCCGGGCGTCGTAGAAGATTTGAGCTGCGCGCTTTTGTTTCACAGCTTTCGACCCCTGAGGCGGCTTTCTGGCCCCGCGACCGTCAGAGCACGACGCTGGATGAAGCAGCTGCCCGCGGGGCAGCCAGCAGAGCGGGGAGGGGCAGATGAGGGCAGTGACGGGGCTGAGAGGGCGGGAGGGGGCACAGGTGGGGGGAGGCCTGAGGCGGAGGAGGGGGAGGAGGAGCAGGGGAGGAGGAGGAGGAGGAGGAGGAGGAGGAGGAGGAGGAGGAGGAGGAGGAAAGGGAGAGGAGGGGGGCCCTCCCCCTCCCTGTTCCCGGGGTCGAGATGACCAGGGATCCACGTCACGAAACGGTTGCGGCGTCGCACCGGGAAGTTTTTCCCGACGCCCCCCGCCCGGCGGAGGCGGGGACAGCAAGCGCGACGAGCTGGAGACAGTGGCAGAGCACTGACCTTCTGTGCATGTCGAGCGGATGCGGTCGGGAGCGTTGGGATACACAATGATCATGCCTAAGTGTTCGAAAGCTCTTTGTTATGCTTGGGGGGCAATATCATTTCATTTCTAGTTGTTCCATCCTGGGCCTCTTCCTGGCCACCAGGGGGCCAGGAACAGTTAGAAACGAGCACAGTTAGAAACGAGCACGATTAGAAATGAACGACCTGTACCAGGAGGAGTAGAAACACACAGACACAGTTCATCGTCGATTCCCCCAGAAAATATGGGAAAAGATGGGCACTTTAGGGGGGAAGACAGAAACCCCGAAGATACGGGAAAATATGGGGGATCCTTTTATTTGCGTGCATTCATTGGTGTGTCCCAGGGCCCCTTCACTGCAGCGTGTCGCTCCGCCGGTGCTGGCCCACCACGCATCCGAGCGACACGCGGACCTCTCTGCGATATCCCGAGGACTCCACGTGCCGGGCTTCTCCCAGCCTCCCCCCTCCGCGGAGGGGAGCGACACCTCCTTCTCCTCCTCCTCCTCCCCCTCCTCCTCCTCCTCCTCCTCCTCCTCCTCCCCCCCTCCACCCCCCCCCCCCTCCCCCTCCCCCCCCTCTCCCCCCTCCTTCCTCCTCCCCCAACACGAACGACCCACACGCGAGACCACGGCGGGTCGCCGGGGCCCGCCGGGGCGGCGCGCTGCTCCGAATGTCATCACTAAAGGGGGGGGGCGATTTGGTGGGGGTCTTGGAGGAGGAGGGGAGGAGAGGAGCAGAGGAGGAGGAGGAGGTGAGGAGGAGGCGTAGGAGAGGGGGATGGTGAGGAGGAGGAGGAGGAGGAGGAGGAGGAGGAGGAGGAGGAGAGGTCAGGATGGGGGGGAGGGAGGAGGAGGGTGACGCAAACGAGGTAGGATATGGAGTGAGGAGGCGGCGAAAACCAAGTCTTCGAGGAAGGGCGCGTCTTCGTCGTCGCTGCGGCTGCGTGGTCCTGCCTGCTTCCTTGTATGTGTACTGCTAAGTCTCTTTGGCCCCCTTCCCGTCAGTGGCGAAGCGTCCTGGCTTGCCTATAGCCCTACCAAACAATGTTCTAAGAACCTTTTGTGGCTTCCACGAAATGTTCCTGGAACGTTTATGTTTCAGATTGTCTTGTTTTTGCACATCGGGTCTACGTTCTAAAAACATCTTTTGTTATTAGAACATTTTTGGGTTCTCAGAACATGTCGTGGTATGACTATAGGAATGCCGGGACGGTTGGTCCCTGCTCAACACATGCGAACCCTACCCCACCCTCCCCCTCAGAAATCGTGGGGGGTAGGGGTAGGGTTCGCATGTGGCCCCCTATTCGAGCTGCCTTGGAGGATACTGGGGGTTCTGGGCAAAAGGCCGGCCTTTTTCATGACTGGTCCAATCGGGGGAGGTCTGAAATCCTCGAGATCCGACGATGCGGAAATCAGTGCAACACTGTAGAAGATCGCGCCCAGAGCCCTAGACCCTATCTTTCTGCACCATTTTCTGGCCGGACCGGATCGACTTGTGAGGTTCTCGGGGGTGGAGAGAACCCCCAACAGTGACACGTCGATTAGTGAATCGTCCGTTTTCGGTTCTCGAGAGGGCGCCGTGGTCGTTATTGTCCAGGCTTGCGCCCGCCAGGTTTGGGCCCGAAGTCGTTTTCACTAAACCACGTTTTACTAAAGGGAGGTCTGTCCATCCCCGATCGACGAAAAAAGGCGAAAACGCCAGGCTCAAGAAAAGTGGGACGCCAGGATCTCAGGGATGGCTCGTCTGGGAGGTTCGTGGCCCCCTTCCTCTTTGTAACGAGAGTCGGAGTCCTCCGAGAGCTCCCCGCCGCTGCAGTTAGGTCGGGCATGCCCTCCTACAGGCGGATGTTGGAAGAAGAACGAAACAACAGCCGAAGCATATCCCAAACGTGCTAAGCACAATAGAAACATCGTCCCCAAAACTGGTTTAAAATGATACCGGAGAAAACCCCAACCATAGTATATTTAGGGTTGTAGGGCTATAGGGTTATATGGGCTACAGGGCTAGTGCGCTATAGGGTAATAGAGCTACAGGGCTATAGGGCTATAGGGTATAGGGGTATAGGGCTATAGAGCTATAGGGCTATACGGCTACAGGGCTATAGGGCTATTAAGCTATAGGGCTACAGGGCTATATAGAGCTACAGAGCTGTAGGGCTATAGGGCTACAGGGCTATTGGGCTATAGGGCTATAGGGCCATAGGGCACCCCCGGGCACGCCCCCCAGAGGACAAGGCCATCGGGTGAGTCAGGCCCAAAAACCCGGCACCCGGGCACCCCGGGCACCCGCACACCCGTCGCCACCGCACTGGACGCCCCGTCCTCCAACGCCCGTTCACCACGGGCGTGGGCGTGCGGCGAAAATCGGCGGCAAGGCTAACCTAACCATAGGAATCCGCTAGGACCCCTACAGAGGCAAGCGTTGATTGGGGAATATGGATTAAGCATTCCTCCTCCAGAGGGACATGCCCGACTTGGCGCTGCAGGCGTGGAGCGGCGCATCGGCGCGCGCCCGCGCGGCGGCCTCTCCCGGAGAGGCCGCTCTCGAGGGAAGGCCGTCGCCAGGGGGCGTTCCCGGAGGGGAGGGGCTTCGCCCTCGGAGGGAGGGGGAGGAGGAGGAAGGAGGAGGAGGAGGAGGAGGAGGGGGAGGTGGTGGAGGAGAGAGGAGGAGGAAGGAGTAGGAGAGAGGAGGAGGAGGAGGAGGAGGAGGAGGAGGAGGAGGAGAGGAGGGGGAGGGGCGGGGGAGGGGGAGGGGGACGGGGAGGAGGACGGGGCGGGGGAGGGGAGGGAGGAGGGGGAGGAGGAGGAGGAGGAGGAGGAGGCGGAGGAGGGAGGAGGAGGAGGGAGGAGGAGGAGAGGAGGCGGAGGAGGCAGGAGAGGAGGAGGAGGAGGAGGGAGTGGGAGGGAGGAGGATGAGGAGGAGAGGAGGAGGAGGAGGAGGAGGAGGAGGAGGAGGAGGAGGAGAAGGAGGAGGTGGAGGAGGGAGGAGGGAGGGGGAGGGGGAGGGGGAGGGGGAGGGGGAGGGGGAGGTGGAGGAGGAGGAGGAGGAGGAGGAGGAGAGAAGGAGGATGAGGGGAGGAGGAGGGAGGGAGGGACGGAGGGAGGAGGAAGGGAGAGGGAGGGGGGAAGAGGGTACCCTCTCGGCGGGAGGCTGGCGGCAGCAGAGCGGGGGGTGTCGGGCGTGGCGTAACGGGGTGGGGGGGTCGAAGAGTCGAAGAATGGGGGGGCAGCGAGGGCTGCAGAACGGGGGCCCTTCTAGGGCCCCCAAGGGGTCCTCTGCAGGGCCCCGAAAGGGGCCCTTCGGCCCCCAAAGGTGCACTTCTCTCCCCCCCCCCATTTATCGCCCCCCAAGAGGGGTCGAGAGGGGTGTCCTCTCTTCCTCGGCGGGAGGACGGCGGCAGCAGAGGGGGGCTCCGCCGGCGTAGGGCCCTGCGGAGGTCCTCGGGGCTGAAGGGGCGGGGGTCAGTGCAAGCGGGCGGAACACACAGAGAGTCCTTCTGTGGCAGATCACGAAGCGATTTCTCCTGTTGTGCACCTGAGGGGAGGCCAGGGGGGAGCAGCCATGGCGCCGGATCTCGAGAGATCCTACAGGGCCAGGGGTGCACTGACCCCGGCTTGCTCGCAGGATCCCGCCGGATCCTGCAGAGAGCCTGCCTGGCCCGGGTCTGGGCTGGCCCGGGTCTGCGGTCCTGGAGGGACCCCCATCCCCATCCTCAAGCAGTGGCGAAGCGTTCTGGCTCGCCTATAGTCCTACCAAACAACATGTTCTAACATCCTTTTTGTGGTTCCCACGAAATGTTCTCATACGTAATATTTCTGGCTGGGACAGTCTTGTTTTAACACATCTAGTTTATGTTCTAAGAACCTTGTTGTTGTTCTTAGAACATTCTCGAGTTCTAAAGAACATTTCGTGGTAGGACTATCGAAATGCCGGGACGGTCGGTCCCTGCTCAACATCCCCATCCCCTTCGAGACCCCCACCAAATTACCCCCCCAGTTGGAGATACACCCTTCGAAACCCGAACAGAACGACCTATATCCCCATCTAGGGGGTACATCGGCCAGTGGGGCTCAGGCCACGCCGCTGGGGATGGGGGTCGGTGAAACGATCCTAAAAAGAAAACCATCGTTCTTCGACATGTTCATCAGATGCTATCAATCAAGCGTGCGCCTCGCGCGCGCATATCGAGAGCATTCGAGCGCCCCTGCGCGTTCGCGCTGCGGGGGCGCACGGTCCAGTGCGGGCCGCCTCGCTCCCCATTCCGCCTCCGCCCCCGCCCGTCGGACCCGTGCCCCAGGGCGGGGCCGAAACGCTGTTTTGCCGGACTTCGGCCGTGTGCTGTTCTTCGTTGTGGCAGGGAGGCACAGGAGGAGGAGGAGGAGGAGGAGGAGGAGGAGGAGGAGGAGGAGGAACAGGGAGCGCAAAACGAGCAACAAGACGAACGCATAACAAACAGCAGCGTTCAGGTCCAGCCCTGCCGCGCCCCCCGCCCCCCCCCGCCCCCGCCCTGGACGCGTCTCTCCACCTCCCCCTGCAGAGCTCGTCCACATGAGTCGTGGCCTCCTCTCTCCTTGGGGCCTGTCCAGGTGAGCAGCTCTTCTCCCGCTCCAGATGTTTTGGTTCAGTCGGGACGTCTGTGATGTTTCAACCTGGTGTTCCCGCTGCAGCGACGTCCTCATGTTCGGATCGGCGCTCTGCTCCCGTCGTGCAGACCTGGCGCTCTCGCCGCAGCACGACACCCGTCGGCGGAGGTGGAGGAAACATCTCCGCAACAAGAAGGGATGGGTGGGAGGGGTAGGATCTCCGATGTGGCGCGAGCGCGCCTAGCTTGCCGTTTCCCCCTCCCCCTCTTCCACGCCGTTTTCTCCATCGACCGCGGCTGCTTTCCCCCGTGTTCTCCCTCCCCCCTATCGCGCCCTTCCGCCTCCTCCCCTCTTCCTCCTCCCCACTCCTGTGCAGCAGGGGTCCGTGCTGGGGAACCGAGCCGAGTTTGCTCATCCATTCCCATTCTTCCTCCCACTCCTCGTCTCTCTGCCTCCCCTGCCCCTCCCCTCCCCCTCCCCTCCCCCCCCCCCCCCCCTCCCCCTCCCCCCCCCCACCCCATACTCCCCCATCCCCCACCCTCCCCATCAACAATTACACATATGAATACTACTCTCCCACTTCCCCTGATGGCGTCCGGAAGATGTTCGGGCACCCCCCCGCGTACTGTTTTTTTTACACACAGGATTCCCCGGAGTTGGGTTTTCGCTTGTGTTTTTTCTAAAATGCTGCTCTCGCTGAGGCGCTGGCCTAATTTTCGGGCTCCCGCTCCTTCCGAATCGTGTTCCCGCTGCAGCGCTGGCCTCATTTCCGCGCTCCCGCTCGTTCCGAATCGTGCTCCCGCTGCAGCGCTGGCCCAATTTCTGCGCCTCTCGTTGTTCCAAAACGTGCTCCCGCTGCAGCGCCGACGTTTTCGATCTTTTTAAGAAGCCCCAAATCTAGAAAATGATCCCCGGCAAAAACATTGGAGGTGATTACACATCCGGTGTCGATTCGTTGATTTTTGGGGCCGCAGAAAGCCCCCCCCCTTTTGGGCGGCGTCCTTTTCCGCACAGGATTCTCGGGAGTTTGGTTTTCACCGTCGTCGTCGTCGTCGTCGCCGCCGTCGTCGTCGTCGTCGTGGTTGTCGTCGTCGTCGTCGTCTTCGTCGTCGTCGTCTTCGTTTTCATCGCGCCGTCGTCCTCCTCCTTTCCCTCTTAGGTAACAGGGTCAGATGCGAAGCCCGATTCGGTGAGAGGACAATGAAGTAGCTCAATGGGAAGGGATGGGAGGGAGGGGTAGGATGTCAGATGTTGACGCGAGCGCACCTAGCTTGCCTCCCTCCCCTCCCCCTCTCTGGTGCCTGCCCTGCCCGACCCGCGCCGCGCACCCCGTCGGGCCGGGGCGAACACTGCCCTGCCCCCCGGGGGGTCTCGAAGGCTGGGCGGGCCGCCCGCCCGCAGAAATAGAGAAAGCGCGCAGGGGCGGTCCTCCTCCTCCTCCTCCTCCTCCTCCTCCTCCTCCTCCTCCTCCTCCTCCTCCTCATCCTCATCCTCCTCCTCCTCCTCCTCCTCCTCCTCCTCGAGCCTCCTCCTCCTCCTCCTCTCCTCGAGCCTCCTCCTCCTTCCTCCTTCCTCCTCCTCCTCCTCCTCGAGCTCCTCTCCCTCCTCCTCCTATCCTCCTCCTCCTCATCCTCGAGCCTCCTCCTCGAGCCTCCCCTTCCTGTTCTCCCCCTCCCCTCCTCCTTCTTCCTCCTCTCCTCCTCTCCTCCTCCTCCTCCTCCTCCTCCCTCCTTCTCCCTTCTCCTCCTCCTCCTCCTCGAGCCCCTCCTACTCCTCTGAGCCTCCTCCTCCTCCTCCTCCTCCTCCTCCTCCTCCTCCTCCTCCTTCCTCGAGCCTCCTCCTCCTCCTCCCCCTTCAGCCTCCTCCTCTCCTCGGGCAGCCTCCCTCTCTCCTCCTCCTAGAGGCCTCCTCATCCTCCTCCTCCTTCATCCTCTCCGCCTCGAAGCCTCCTCCTCCTCCTCCTCCTCCTCCTCCTCCTCCTCCTCCTCTCCTCGGAGCCTCCTCCTCCTCCTCGAGCCTCCTCCTCCTCCTCCTCCTTCCTCCATCCTCCTCCTCCTCCTCCTCACATCCTCCTCCTCCTCCGCCTTCGAGCCTCCTCTCTCCCTCCTCCCCTCCTCCTCCTCCTCCTCATTCGAAGCCTCCGCCTCTCTCTCTCTCCTCCTCCCCCTCCCTCCTCCTCCTCGAGCCTCCTCGAGCCTCCTCGAGCTCCTCCTCCTCCTCCTCCTCCTCCTCCTCCTCCCCCTCCCCCTCCTCTCCTCCTTCTCCTCTCCTCCTCTCCTCCTCACTCCTCTCCTCTTCCTCCTATTCCTCCTTCTCCCTCCTCCTCCTACTCATCCTCCTCCTCCTCGCTCCTCCCCCTCTCCTCCCTCCTCCTCCTCCTCCTCCTCCTCCTCCTCCTCCTTATCTCCCTCCTCCTCCCCCCCCCCCCCCCCCCCCCCCCCCCCCCCACCCCCTCACTCCTGCTCCTCCTCCTCCTCCCGCCTCCTCCTCCTCTCCCTCTCGTACTCCTCCTCCTCCTCCTCCTCCTCCTCCTCCTCCTCCTCCTCCCTCTGTCCTGTGGATCCCCCGATGCGGCTGGGCTGCCTCCAGAGCGACCAGAGCTTCGATGGTAGTTCAGAGACCTGCATTTTGTCGACGACCCTCAACTTGTTCGGAGTTCGCTCGGCAGTTCTCCGGAGCGCTCCGCGGGTCCCCACCAGCCAGGTGCAGCGACCAGTGCCCCGCTCGCTGTTCTGCGTCTTGTCGCGTGCAGCCCTTCTCTGGATTGGTCGGTGGAAATGCTGGTTTGTGCCGATCAGGTCTTGTCGGGCATGTTTGATACGAGACTTGATCCCATGTGGTTGCGGATGCTTGGGATTACATGACTATCAGCCTTCGTAGAAGTCCGTTGATTTATCCAGGTGTCTCCTTCGCCTCTTCCTCGTCTTCGCACCCGTCATGAGTTTCTTGGCTCCCCGCCATCGGAGTCTTCAACTTCCTTTTGTAATCCTGCATTCCTTGCCCTCCTCCCCCACCACCTCCCCCCTTTCCCGCGCCTCCCCTTCGTGGTTGTTTGCCCTGTGCCACCTGTGTGTCTGCAGTCGACGGGTGGCTGACCTCCGGACACAGGTGACGTTCGCTCTGTCTCTTTTTTGTTTTTCTCTCTATCTCTCTGTATATATGTGGGAACATATAGATTTACATAAACCGTATATGTATGAAGACTCATATGTGCGTGAATGCGTGTGCGTGTGTGTGTGTGCGCGCGTGTGTGTGTGTGTGAGTGTGAGTGTGAGCGTGAGTTTGAGTGTGAGTTTGAGTGTGAGTGTGGTTGTGGTTGTGGTTGTGGTTGTGGTTGTGTGCGTGTTTTGTGTGTGTGTGTGCGTTTTGTGTGTGTGTGTGGGGGGGGGGTCTGTGTGTGTCTGTGTGTGTCTGTGTGTTTGTCTGTGTGTCTGTGTCTGTGTGTGTGTCTGTGTGTGTGTGTGTCTGTGTGTGTGTGTCTGTGTGTGTCTGTGCGTGTCTGTGTGTGTGTCTGTGTGCATCGAGGGGGAGATGGGGCAACGTGGCCGCGAAAACAAAGGTTGTCACTCGCTCGACGGTAGCCTAAAACCCTTGCCCATGCCAGAAGTAGGAAAAAAACTGGCCACACCTAGGGGGGGAGAAGGGTGGGGGAGGAGACAGGAGGCACCCAACTGGGGTACAACATCCGGGCCCCGAAAATAAGCAATGGCCCTTAACTTGGGCAGGGAACATAACTACACAGCTTCGACACCAAGAGTGCTTGTGCAAGCTATAGTGTCTACCACTCTGGAGTTCTGCTGAGCGTGAAACCGGCAGAAGAAGTAGCGAAAGTCCCCCCCTTGCGCTGATCGCAAACCAGAAGATTCATTAATCGACTGTGGGGGGAGCCGAGCGGTCAAGGCTGGCCGCAGACCAGAGAAATCACGAGGCGGAGGAGTAGTAGGAACGGGAAGAAAGGAGGCACGGACGATGGGGGAGAGTGGGCACCGTGGTTGCCAAAAACGGTTATCACGCACAGCGGCGGCTTAAGCCCTGACCCATGTCAGAAGTAACAAAGCACTGGCCACAGGAAGAAGAAGAAGAAGAAGAAGAAGGAGACGAAGAAGAAGAAGAAGAGAAGGAGACAAGAAAGAGCAAGACGAAGAAGCATAAGGAGAGGCAGAAAGAAACAGGTGACCAAACTCAAACACCGTGCACCAGCCAAGGTTTCGCGCACGGGCTCGCCTACTGCAGGTTGGTCTTTGCGTGGCTCCAGGTTTGTTTGGTGCATTTCAGTGCCACCATCACTCGTCGCAGGGGAGTGCGATTGTTTTGCATGATCTCCTCATCCATATACATGTATAGATGTATATGCACATAAATATTGTCCGAACTGTTTTGGTATGTTGGTCAGCTGTGTCGGTGTGCTCCTGGCTTCTGTCTGGTGGCCTCGTCTGGCACCCTATGGCATGGCGCAATGTGATTCGGCTTCGTGCGGCATGAAATGACCGATTGTGATCGTGTGCAGGGGGGAAGGGCCAAATGAAGAGCGGGAGGGTCGGGCGAGACAATCATACCATACCGAACACAATGTGTTGGGGCTCATGTAGGCCCCCTGGAGCAATGCTCGCGCTCGTGCGGCAGGCGAGGAGACGGGTGCCCAGGCCAACCAGGCCTGACCGAACCAGAGAGGCGCCACCTCCGTTCCAGCGAGGAGCAGGAACCACAGAGCGCCGAATCGAGCGCCGAATAGAGCGCCGAATAGAGCGCCTGATAGAGCGCCTGATAGCGCGCCGAATATAACGCATAATCCAGCTCCTAATCAAGCCGCCGCAGGTTTGAAATCCCTGGAAATCGAGGTTACACCTGCGGCAGCTCTATCAGGGCGCCGAATAGGAGCGCCGAGTAGACCGCAGAATAGAGCGCCGAACAGAGCGCCGAACAGAGCACATAATAGAGCGCCGAATAGAGTCGCCACAGGTTTGAAATCCCTGGGAATCGATTCCCAAGGATTTCAAACCTGCGGCGGCCCGTTTTAGGGCGCCGAATGCAGCGCCGAGTAAAGCGCCGAACCGAGCGCCGAAAAGAGCGCCGAATAAAGCCGCCGCAGGTTTGAAATCCTGGGAATCGATTCCCAAGTATTTCAAACCTGTGGCCGCTTTACTAGAGCGCCGAATCGAGCGCTGAATAGAGCGCCGAATGGAGCGCCGAGTAGAGCGCCGAACAGGGCGCCGAATAGAGCGCCGAATAGAGCGCCTGACAGAGCGGCTGATAGCGCGCCGAATAGAGCGCCGAATAGAACGCCGAACACAGCTCCTAATAAAGCCGCCGCAGGTTTGAAATCCCTGGGAATCGATGTTACACCTGTGGCAGCTCTATTAGGGCGCCGAATGGACCGCCGAATAGAGCGCCGAACAGAGCACCGAACAGAGCCCCGAATAGAGCGCCGAATGCAGCGCCGAGTAAAGCGCCAAGCAGAGCGCCGAACAGAGCGCCGAATAGAGTGCCGAATAAAGCCGACGCAGGTTTCAAATCCCTGAGAATCGATTCCCAAATATTTCAAACCTGTGGCCGCTTTACTAGGGCGCCGAATCGAGCGCTGAATAGAGCGCCGAATGTAGCGCCGAGTACAGCGCCGAACAGGGCGCCGAATAGAGCGCCGAATAGAGCGCCTGATAGAGCGCCTGGTAGCGCGCCGAATAGGGAGCCGAAAACAACGCCGAATACAGCTCCTAATAGAGCCGCCGCAGGTGTCAAATCCATGGGAATCGATGTTACACCTACGACAGCTCTATTGGGGCGCCGAGTAGAGCGCCGAACAGAGCGCCGTATGGAGCGCCGTATAGAGCGCCAAATAGAGCGCCGAATGGAGCGCCGAATAGAGCGCCGAATAGAACGCCGAACAGAGCGCCCAATAGAGCGCCGAATAGAGCTCCGAACAGAGCGCCGAATAGAGCGCCGAATAGAGCGCCGAATAGAACGCCTGATAAAGCGCCAAATGGAGCGCCGAATAGAGCGCTCAATAAAGCTCCTAATGGAGCGCGCAATAGCGCTACCAAGCATGAGCCCAATAGAGCTACCAATCATGCGCCCAATGGAGCGCCTGATAGAGGGCATGGGTCCGCATCAGGATCGAGGAAAAGACCGCATCCTGATCGAATTCGCCCCTGGATCTTGAATCGGCCCTGCGTTTGATCCTGAATCGGTCCGCGGTAGATCCTGAATCGGCCATAACTTGGCCCTGAATCTCCCGCTGCGAGTTCGCGCGATGGAACGAGGCGGAAAATGCGCGAACTGAATCGTCGGTCCGGTCTCCCGCGCGGGAACAAAATAACAAATCAGAGGCAGCAGCGTAGAATGGGGATTCTCCGCTGCGATGTCCCGGCGGAGAGCCGCGTCCTCGTCCTCGTCCTCATCTTCGTCCTCCTC